ACCCCTGCCAAAAAAAAAAGATTAACACAGAGAAAAAAAAAACTTTCCTTTCTCATGTTCTCTCCATTTGTTAAGTTTGCTTACTTTTGTTTGTTCTACTTTTCTATTCAATTAAGACAGAAACATACAAGTGGTAGGTAGAAAGTGGAAACATATAAATGGTAGATAGAAAATTATAAAAGGTAGAAACATATGAAAGATGTACATTTAAATGAAAAGTGCACATAATATAGAAATGTAGAAGGATTTATAAGAAAGGTAGACAAATTGATATGAAAAGTAGACATATTATATAAAGTTAGAAAGATTTATATGTAATGTAGATAAAAATTTACAAAAGTTAGATGGAAACATATGAAAAGTGGAAATAATATATAAATGTAAGGCAGTGAAGCATTTTTCCCCCTTAAAATTTTAACACCGTGTTGCATCCTCGATTCTAGCTTTTTTGGCATTTTAATCCAGTAAAATAGTTTTTCAATCATTAAACCAAGTGTTCAGTGTTTCTAATGAAAGTTTTGCACCCAGGATCCTAGCTTTTTTGCATTTTAACCCAGTAAAATAGCTTTGCAATCATTAAACCAAGTGCAATCTTTCTAACTAAAGGTTGTTTACTTTCTTAATGGTTTTACTGAAAGAATTTGGCGAGTAACAAATGAAATTTGTGAACAGTGTTTTCCTGTAGAACATGTAAGCTTAGGTTAGTGTCTTCTGAAAACTTTGTCGCATTAATGTATCTTGCAGTTGTTGACATCGGGTCCGAGTGAAAAGAAATAGCCATACTAGGGGTGAATCTGCATTAATATATGTGGCCATAAGGGGATCTACATAGTGTCATAATTTATCTATCAAATCAAGTTCTGAACAGATTTAACTGTCTTTGTTAAGATTTTGAATCTGATTCTTTGTTTTATCCTAACATGTAATGGCTGCTTCTTCCGATATGAAGTTATTATCTGTACAAATCATAGCATGATCTCTTTCCGCTTCAAGAGGTGCAACTTTTTCTTATTCTATTTTATTTCTCTTCCAGGCCAATGAATTCTCAATCCGTATCAAGAAATTGGCAAGTCGTGGAACTGGATCTGATCATGATATGGCAGGTTCAGGGTTTTGGTTAAAATAATTTTGAAAACCCTTGTGATGGAAAGAAGAATATGCTAGAATATTTTAATGCTTGAAGCAGAGAGACCAGAGAAGGCATGTTTATTCTATAATTCATTTTCTCTCTATAATAGGGTATGAAGCACTTACGCTTTCCGCCTTCAGATATTCCCCATCACACATTGCGTCAATGACAACATTGCACGTTAGTGGGTTATTCTTGGTTCTGATCCTGTGTGTTTGTTTGCATTTTTCTGAGATGATACTTAGGGGATAATACTTATCTGTTACCAGATCTAATGTCATTGTCTATTAAATTTTGGTCAAATTACATTATGTTCCTTTCGGTTTAAATTGGTATAGCGCAGCTATTTTCTAAGACCCAGAGGCTGTTCAATCACACAAACAATGGAGCTTGAAATTTGGGAACTCCGTTGGTTACTTGTTTTGCCCTAACCACCCAGCACAAGATCATTTGCTTTGGCGACAGAGAAATTTCTTTAGCTGCAATTTCTTCCTTTCATGTTATTATGTTTGTATATTATCAATATATTATGTTGTGCACTCTCCTTGTCCCTACACAGCTTCTTACCATTTCTTACCATGTGATCAGATCGTGCCTATCATGTGTATGCAAACATGGAGTCAGTGTGTGGTAGTTTTCCTTCTTCTTCTTCTTTTTACCCCCCTCATTCGCTCTTGTGAAATATGTGCATCTACGTCTTTTCATAGCTTATGCAATCTATTTGTACTGAAGAAACAAATGCCAGCAGATGAGTTTGTCGGGTCATAGGCCCGTAAATTGCTGCACTTTCCTTTCATCCTTGAGAATTTATATTTGCGTAAAGCAGAAAAGAAGAGTGTTTTATGCTACGAAAAGGATGTGCGTGTGTATATATATATATATTGGAAATAACAGGATATTTGATGTTATTTCAATCATGTGGGAGATGGACAATGATTGATTGACCATTACATTTTCGGTTATGGGTTTGATACAAATAAAATTGCAGTGGCTGTTGGATTTTCTTCACGACTTTGGCGTGGGAGAATAGCTTGCTAGAGTGCGAAGCTAGATATGTAGACAGACGGTAGGTGTTGAAGTGGATTTGTGCTGCGTGATGCGTCGTTTCAGAAAATGGCAGTGACGAGGTAAGAGCGCTCCTTCTCTCAGTTTTTTCAAAAGGTTTGGTGAGAGCATTAGACTTTTTATCACAACCCTCATCATCGTCATTTCAATAATTCATCCCAAGGATTAGAAGAAATTCATTTCAATAATTCATCTGAAGGGTTAGAAGAAATTCAAAGTTCAAGGGCCTTGGTAGTCAAGATAGCGTCCAACCACTAGACCCCACCCGCCCGCAGTCACATCTACGCTTCTAATCTGTAGACAATTGGTGAACCAATCAATATGATCCAAGTCCGACATTCGCCATAGAAAAATGCAAATACTTGGATGACTTGAGCGGGCCAGTGCGAAAACACGCTGCGCTGGGGCAGGGGATCGTAGTAGGGGGGGCTTTGGAGGAGAGTAAAAGTAGTGATTACATGGACATAACGAGCCAACTACGTCCTACTTTAAATGATCTATACATAATAATCAAATTGTTTTTTTTTTTTTTTTTTTTTTTTTTGAAAATAAATTTTTTTTTTTTTTTTTTTTTTTTTTTGTGTGTGTGTGGGGGTGGGTTGGGGGGGCATACCACGTGTTTGTGGTAATGGCAAAGAGGAGAAGTGAAAAGATCTTAGATGAATGAGGACCATCAATGGCAAGAAACAAAGCACAGCAAGTCAAAGGCAAAGGCGTATGCTTGCTCCGTGCTGCACAACGTGCAACCGCAAATCCCCATGTCATGGGGAGCTCAAAGAGAGGAAAGAGGAAGAGGGATGGTGATTGGTGAGCCCTCTACTCCACCACCCCAATTCCCATCTTAAATCCTACATAAAATTCAACGGATATTGTTCTGTTCCTCGTTGGAGACTTCACTAATAAATTAAAGCTGGTTTATTTTAAAAAAAAATTTGTGAAATGGTGGTGGCCTTGTCCCATGTGAGGCATGAAGTGGAAAACCGTAATACAAGAGTGCTAGTTTCACTTCTCATTCACTCGTAGCGGTCACATGTAAACCCCCCATCCACTGTTATTAGTATTAGCAACAGTCCTCTGACCTCTCCCTCTCTCTCTCTCTCAATTCGCGCATTTTCAAAGGCTGCCTGCCTCTCTCTCCCTTCGGAGCACAACGACAGGTTATGTTATTTTATTTATGTTACTAATAATGAGTCTGTAACGCTCCTTCACAATAAACTAACTACAACTCAAACCGAAAAAAACCCCTTTCTCCATTCCATTACTGCCCCCTGCCTTAATAGGCTTAATATGCGTATGTGTGTATGTATATATATATTCTGCTTCTGCGTAATATGCGTATGTGTGTATGTATATATATATTCTGCTTTCACACGGACAACAAAGTGACACACACAGAGACAAAGCAATCATTAAAATCCCAATCTTCTCAATTCCCGTTTTTACATGAAAACCAGTAAACAACCGTCACAAAATAAATAAAAAAGATCAGTACCCCGCCCCCATTACTTTGCCCATCACTAATCCATATATATAAGATACAAAGTTGTTGAACACAATTCTTTCTGTAGGAACTCGAGAGAAAACCCAAAAAAAAAACAACTAATCTACCTAACCGGCTAACTTACTTAATACCTAGCAAACAAAATGCGGACAAGGACCGACACCAACAGAAGGGAACACGCTTTTGCTTATATCACAAAGACGGGAAGGAAGGGGGTTGATCATCGGTAACCGTGACGGAGAATGAGCTAAAATGCGGTAGAATTTGTCTTTAAAGAGTCTTGTTTCAAGATGGGGTTCAGTGAGGGTGAGGTAGAGGCGCAGGCGCTGCTGGGGGCTTAGCACACTGGTAGCACTTTGCAAACAGCCCGAAGCTGTCGATCTGCTTCACAAAGTTGGTGACACTCGCCCAACCACCAAATCCAAATCCCACAACAAAAACCCAGGCCACCACAAACACATTCAGCGCATACATCCCCGCCCAGCTCGGTAAGAAGAAGGGCGGTTTCTCCGCGGCATTCTGCAATCACAAACAACAAGTGACAGAAACAGGTTAAGGAGATGAAAGGAACGTTACACCTTTGCATTTAATGCTGTCTATTCCTCTAATTAGATCCATTCTTTCCCATTTATTAGGCTCCAGTAGGGGACTAGCAATCCCCCGGTGGATCTGGATTCGTTTTTTTCAAGTTTCCACTGTTCGGCAAGTGGTCCCCGTCACTAATAATGGATTTTGGACGGGGCCTGTCTCTACCAGATCGAGGTGCCAGCTCCAACAATTATACACAAGTTGACTTGACCTCCCTATTGCTAAACGGTAGTGATGAACTGTTTCAAAATAGACCAGGATACCCTCCCTGATCCTAAGCAAACATTTAATGATTGTGAAGCGCTTGAATTGGACACGGACAAATGGATACTTATTTTAGTTTGACAATAGTGAGGGTCAAAACCAACCAGTTGGAAATTTTATGCCTAGCGTAGTACTAATCAAACAACACAAACGTCATTAATGTGATAATTAAGTTAATAAAAGGATAACAGAGGCAGAGGGAGGGATACCTGTCGAGCAGAGGCAGAGCGGTAAGTGAGCATGTGTGCCAAGGCGGGGATGATGTAGACAGTGAAACTGACGAGCAATGCACCAACAGCGGAGTTGATGGGTCCAAAGAAGGGGAATATGATGGCTAAGAACCAGATGGGGATGACGACGGGCAGACGAGCTAGAGCGCGCAGGCAAATGCTCTTGGCGTCGTGCATTCCAATCACCTTCTCCCACACAAAATAGAGAGGGGTACAGGCGAAGCCGAAGGTGATAAACTGATGAATCAGCATCAATATAACAGCAGCATCACGGAATCCAGTCTTCGGGAGCAAGGAGAAGGCGTTGGAGTGATTAAGGAGTTGATCACCGAAGGCCCAGTACATTGCAGCCGCAGACGGCAGGGTCAGTGTGAAGACGTACAGAGTTGCTAGCAGGTAGATGTACTTGAATTTTTGTGGCTTCCACATCGCATGCATGATTTCCCTGTTAGATGAATAAATATTATCATTTGGTTATTAATCTCTCAATCGATAACAACAAGCTCACATGGTCAGGTTCATGAGATGCCAAAATCATTGGTTAACGAACAAAACGGCCTGTGCACATGGTGACACTCCTGTGATTTTTCTAAAGAAAATAAACAACTCGAACAATTTCAACAGTTCAGATCAAACTAAACTTAAATCAAACATCACATGACCATGTGAGGTTCCTTAATCATAAATCAACAAACGAAACTTTCAATTCGTGTCTCTAATAATCACATGTACAGAGCATAGTGAACGGGTCACAGAACCTTCAAGTTCTATTTTTAATGGGCCATCATCAGGATTAAAAAAAAAAGCGCGACTTATAAGTAATTAACACCTTGATTTATTGAAAGTTTGACTGTGGATTACATTTTAATCTAATGATTTTTCCCAATTAATCCACGTTTACCATTTTGAAAGTTAATCGTCTTCACAGATTTAGGGGCCCCCGTTTGTTTGCATTATTTGGAGGGAGAAACCCGGCCAAAGTTCTGACAAAGTTCTGAAAAAGGCAGGCTTTCTTGCAAAATCGCCCTAATTTGGAGGGCTTTTACAAAAAAAGTTGTAAAAGTTCTGACTTTTTCAAAACTTTTATCACCGTCCAAAAATTGCGTCCAAACATGCCCTTAGGGAAGATAAAGGTTTAAGATAGAGAATCTGTATGCCCGCCTGCCATATATTTATAGGAGGGACAACATAAGACAATTAACTTTGGTCTTTCGGAACGATCTAATAAATCTCGTGAAATTTCTTTCATTGTAGACGCAACCTAGAATGTAGGAGTCCAGTTTATACTAACTTCAATCATCATTACTCATTTCCTTTGCAGTCCACTAATAAAAGGATTTCCTCTTATTAATTAATGGTTTGGAAGTAGTAACAAGCTTAAAAGCTAGAGCTAAATTGAAAGGTTACTTGGCTGTCAATGCTATATAAGAAATAAAGGTCAATTTCAACTATAGAGACCTAGCTAGCTAGAAGAAGAAGTAAGAAGGCTAGCCATAGCTCTTTATGCCGTCTGTAGCGGTTTGCCAATGACAGCTAGTGAGCCCTCCTGCTCAGTTAAAGATACATGCTAAAGCTAGAGACGAGTAAATGGGCTGCGGACAAATTATTATTATTATTAGTAAAATAATAATGATATTTATTACTTAAATATTATTATTCTCCTCTTTCTCCTGGTCTTCACCCAGCTGGATAGCTGTAAATAATAGCAATCGTACTCCGTATGCACCCCTTTTCCAGTTTCCCACCACCCCTTTTGTTTTTGTTTTTTTTTTTTTTGTTTTTTTAAACAAAAGAAAAGAAAAGTAAGAAAAAAGATGGGGAAAGGGCAATTTTTGTGGGCAAAAAATAAGGGATATGAAATAATTATATCTTGTAGGTTTGCTGACCGGCAAAAGCTGCAGAAATGGGAACGGAAGGAATCGGCGGAGAGTTTGAAAAGTGGATTTTTAGCGAAATATAGATAGATAGATACAGGAGCCTAATAATTATAACCCAAGATAGCTAGCTAGCTAGCAATTGATTTGATGAGATGGGGGCAGGGAGTACTCACACGGTGACTGCGTGGCCGCCGAAAGTGTACAAAATATTGGTGGCTCCGGTGAAATAGAGTACCAGCTTTTTGGGGCCCGAGTGGACCACGCCTGCAACCTGTACGTACGCACCAGTCGTTACAAAACCAAAAGGGAGCACGACCCTTGTTAATTAATTTAGTTTTGGTCCTCAAATGATCAGACTCTTTGCTGCGCTTTTGAAATTTACATAATATTTACTCACAATTACCATACCGTCAAGTTAAACAAGCACAACGGTACGGCGCAGCAGCTGGTTAGAGAAGAGAGAGGGAGGGGGAGAGCGAGGAGGAACCAACCTGGCCGTCGACAAGTGCGGCGATGGTGATGTACCAAGCGGTGTAGGTGGTCATGCCCAGACCCAGAAAGGACCAAATCCTGTAGTTGTGGAAGGAGGGAATGAAGACGGTGGTGGCGCAACAGGCTCCAAATATGTAGGTCCAGGTCCTCTTGTCCAGATGGTCGCTGACGTAGTAGATGTTGCTGGCGCAGCCAATCAACTGGATGACGGATCCGAAGAGGAGGAAGGTGCAGTTGAAGGCGAGCCCCAGGGCTTTCCAGTAAGGCCCCAGAAGCCCATCAAGCACCTCGAACCACTGCAGCGACCGAAAAAGTGATGAGCTGAGTGAATAAAAAGAAGAAGAATGAAATTGAGGAGGCGGGGGCGCATCTCATTTCATCACGTCAGCTGGAACCTAGAAAACAGGGGAATTGAGTTTCGGGTAACAGGGGTTAAGAAAGACCTGGATGACGTGATTCTTGAAACTGACGTTCTCCTTCTCCTTTCTGCTTCTGTACTCGACGTAGAGGACGCTGATGAGGTAGGCGGTCCAGCTGCCCATGATGCCGTAGAACAACTGAAACACTATTCCCGACACCATCCCCAGCTGAGAGAAGGAGTACGGCAGCGTCAACAGGACTTGAGCTACCTGCGGCCACATTGGTTGACGCCGTCACCATTCGACAATCGGCCAGTTTAATTAATTAAAAACAAATTAGTTACATGCATGGATATATATATTACTCAGTGAAACTAGCTAGAGAAACTAAGCAAACCACGATGACATCGATCATTAAGAACGAATTAAGAAGAAGCATGGCACATACTTGATTGGAGGCGCAGCTGAACCAAGCATCATAAACAGAACCCCCGTGCCAGAGCAAGTTCTTCAACGCGCCTCCCCCTCCTGGAGGGGGACCACCCCCTTCCTCATCGGCGTGATCCTTTCCCATCAGTTGCTGATCTGCAGAGGTCTCGTTGTGGCCGACCACGATTGCCTCCTCTCCTTGCTTAGGAGCCATTGGTTCTTCTCTTCGCCGGCACCGGAAAAGAATTACGACGTGCGACGCTCGCTGCTGGAGCTGAAGGATTGAAATCGAGAGAAAGAATACAAGAGAGAGAAAAAAGACAAGTTAGCGGTCGCGGTAACCACCGTTTCTAACAAGGGTTAAATTAAAAGATGGAAGAAAAAAAAATTATAATAATAAAATTAAAAGTTAAAGTAAACTCAAAAGAACACAACCGTACAACTGGCTATTCCTTTCCTTCTCTCCCCCCTCGCTGGCTGTGGTTAAAACGCAGCAGCGGATCCGTTGAATCTGGGGGGGGAAGAATGAAGGTAGATGTGCCGAGTATTACCACGAATCAACGCACGCAAATGAGGTAATCAAAGGTGGGGGGGTCTTATAATTCGGAAATTAATGAAGGCGAAAACAAAGCAGTCCTGAGGAGTAACGGCTGAGAGAATAATGAGGACGAGGAAAGAAACGCTCACTGTTAATTACTTTTTGACTTGCTTCGCTTCGCTTCGCTTGTGTTTTAAAAGCGGAGAGAGCAGAGCAGAGGGCTTGGGAGGAGTAATAAGATTGGAAAAAGAAGAAGCCCGCACTGGCCTGGCCTTCTCTCCGTTTCGTTAAATCCCCCGGAATTAATTAAGGAGAGAGAGAGAGAGAGAGAGAGGATTGGACAGTCAGTGCAGTGCCTCAGATTAAGCTCTTCAGCTGTGAGAGGACAATTAACAGCGGTAGCTCATGACTCTAGCTCTGGCGCCCAATTAAGTTGCAGCGCTGCAACTGACATTAAATGCCCAATTAGAGTTTTGAGGCCGCCCGCCGTTTCTGCCCCCCCAGAGAGAGGTACGTAGTAGCTAGTGTAGTGGTTGGTACAATAGTAATGGAGCGGGTGCCGGGTAGAGAGAGGGGGGGGAATAAATTGGAAATTAAAGACTTTCTTCACTCTGATCTCTTCTGGTTTATTAGCCCAGATTCCTTTCGACAAAATACAGATAGATACGGAGAGAGAGAGAGAGATGGGGGGAGGGAGAGGTGTTAATCAGCAACCAAACCAAGTAGGTATTTATATAGACTATTTAAGCTATAACTTACCAAGATGCTAAAACAGAGGGGGGCTCTTAGGTAACATGTACTACGTAAATGAGCAAATAAATAACAAGGACAAACAAAACAACCGGGAGACACCCGACTTCAAAAGCCACCAAAATCTCTCCTGACAATTCTATCCCTCAATCTCAGCTGCGCCTAAGGAGAAGGTTTTTCGAATATATATCTCCTAAATTATATTAGATATATTTTTACGTAATCGGCCACAAGTTAGGGTAATTTGCGAATAACGATAGTAAACTTTATAGAGAAAATTGATCGATCCGTCTTGAAGTAAATGTTGTGCTCTGATACCACTTGTTGTGCATGGCAGAAGTCAAAACCAAATCGATGTGCTTCGAGAGACCAAATCAAACAAACGCCGAGAGAATACCAAACAATGCAAAATAACGGCACAAACTCAAACAACCAATTTTAACGTGGTTCGGCAAGTTACCTATGTCCACGGAAAGGGGATGAGGTTTTCACTAATAGAGAAGAAGAATACAAACTGAGATTACAAAATCACACAAACTCACCAATTAATCTTACCAACAAAGCTCTAATTCTATTTAAACAAAACTCTAACCAATAGCTCAGAAAATATCTCTTTTCTGTTCTCCAAATATCCCTTCAATGCTCTCCAAACCTAAAATTTGTTCCTATATATATAGAAATCCTAAAACCAAAAGCATACTAGGAATTCTAAAACCAAAATCAAAACAGATTAGGAATCTTAATAACTTGTTACCAAAACAAATTATGAATCATGTTACCAAAACAGATTACGAATCTCAATAACATGTTATCAAAATACATTAGGAATCCCAATAACCTGTTACTAAAATAAATTATGAAACATATTAGGAACTCGCTATTCAACAATTCTCCACATCGGCAAAGTATTTTCAAAACTGAGCTGATACCAATACCAACCAAACGTCCTATTTGTTGCATCTAGTACTGTTGATGCCTGATATCAAACAGTCGACGGGGTCTTTCCGTTAAGGGATGCAGTTCTGATCTTCGCACTAGCGGTGAAGAGGGGGAGGATGAGAGGTGGGGCCGACTCCACCTCTGATTTTATGCATGATCCTTGAACTGGAATTCCTGATCCTTCTACACAAACAAGAAGGAACCCGTAAGAGGGCGGGGACCGGTTCCCCTGTAGTACCTCCAACGGTCAAGTCAGGTGGTGAGCTTGAGTGGGGTTTGAGAGAAGATCTGAGGATCATTGAGTCCTGCTCCTCATTACTCTTGTTGAGTTTTTAAAAGAAGACATAGCTTTTAGGATTGCTTAGAGCTTTTGCCGAAAAAGAGTTCAGAAATCTTAAAAAAGTTCAAGCCCCATGTTTCTTACCCCCCCCCCCCCACCTTCTTCCCCCCCCCCCCCAACCTATTTTTATAGTCCGTCACCTCTGAGATTGACCTTTGGCTTTAACTATGCACAAGAGGATGGTTACGGGGTGAGCAGACAGGCTGCTGAGTCATTCTTCACTTTACAGATGTCAGCCAACGACTAGCGGAGAAGTCATTCGAGCACAGGAGGATGCCTTGGGAACATCTCAAATTCGATAGATGAGACAAGACGAAGGATGAGACGATTGTTTAGGCCTCCTTCTCTTTCCAGATGGCGACTGACGATCGGAGGAGAAGTCATTCGAGCACAGGAGGATGACTTAGAAACATCCCAAATTCGATAGATGAGATAGGACGGATGATAAGCCAATTGTTTACGCCTCCTTCCCTTTCCAAATAGCGGCTGGCGACTAGAGGAGAAGTCATTCGAGCACAGGAGAGTATCTTAGTGATCTCTGAGAAGTGACTTGTGGGCAGAGTGAGCTATTTTCGCACGAGGTTTGTCAGAGTTAAGATCTTGATAAGATCGCTCAATAAATTGTGGTCTTGGTTGATGTATATCTAAAGGTGACTTAGCTGGATCTTATCCCATTAGCAAAGACGGGTCGATTTGTGGGTCATTTATATGATTTATCAACAAGTCAGTCGAGTGAGCTTCTAGTCGAGTAAACTGCCGAGAAGGTGGTCGAGTCGACTATTTGGGGAGTCGTCTCGACTTATGAGGGGTCGACTAATCCCGCACTTCGTGTCGATAAAAGATGATTCGTCTTCTCGGCGGGCAAATAAACTTGCTTTTGCCTGGACTTCTGGGCCACTAAGTTGGTTTGGACCATAGTTTTTTTGGGCTTATGAAGACAATCTTTCGACAACTTTATCTTTAAATGGGTAAATTACCATAACAAGTACGAAGTGGAACAAATCCACGATAACGGACTCAATCCACAATAACTCGAGACCCAAACGAGAATGTGACCACTCTCCAAATATCGATATCTACTCACCAAATCGGCTGCATCATAAATGACTGTTTACTTATCCTCTTGCCTAATGAATTAAACATTCACATAGTTCCCCCAATGGCGTCCAAAGACCCTCAATCCAATAGAAGAGTTCTTAATTCTTCACCAGCATCACCAACGCATCTGCAATTGATAATTCTCCCAATGACCCCAAAATGAAACAAACTAAACACCTTCATCTGAGATGAACCAACGGCCATATCCAAATTGAAACTATGTCCACCAGCTGCACTCGAATCAACCAACTCATCATATGCATCCAAATCCAAATGATCCCCAAACCATGTCACCTCAGCTGGAATCCTAAACGATGTAGTATAATCTAGAGTATGTAGAGTAATCTCCACCCAATATGGAGTAGCATCACCCTCCACCCGCTACGACACCCCAACGATCTGATCAGCACTCTCCACCTGTTAAGAGTCAAAATGGCATACCTGCTTAGAACCAAATCAGAGTCTCCCAATTGATAACTAAACGAACCTCTGAATCTCAAATGTGCAATAGGATCAAATCTCACATCCTTGATTATGCTTGGAGGTTTGGGTCTACACCTCAAGTCCAACATAAATTCTATCCTTTTACGAGTCGGTTATGTTTTCTATTTAAGAGGAACGGTGCAAGCCTGAAAGTATTGATTTTCATTAATAAAATATCACTTAGTTAATATTTCTTTCATAAATTTAAATATTATTTTTCTTCGTTAAATTGAAGAGTTCCTTGGGGCCTTCTGAGATTTGTTTCCACGTTGCATCAAGAACCCTGAAAACTTTGGGATTTTCAGAGAACTCCCAGAACTTTCTTGATGAGTTTGCAATGGAGCAAGGTATCCTTACGATTTTTGTTTCCTTTGTCATATGTATTGCTTGAACTAACTACTCAGAGCAAGTGCATCAAGCTTCTAGTTGGGAGTCCTAGTCACCAAGCTCTCAAGAGCTCTCAAGCATTTTAGAATAAAAAATTTAAAAAATAAGCCTTGGGATGCCCTCCTTCTTTTATGGAGCTCCAACAAGCTCCTAGTTTGGAGCTCCACCAATATCAAAAAACCCTTCTTCTATTTTAATATTTTACCCATTACTCAACGGTCATTTTTCAACTCTAATTGCTCATTTATTTCATTATTTTAATATTTTACCCATTACTCAACGGTCATTTTTCAACTCTAATTGCTCATTTATTTCATTTACCAAATCTTTGTATCTATTCTATTACTCAACGGTCATTTTTCAACTCTAATTGCTCATTTATTTCATTTACCAAATCTTTGTATCTATTCTATTTCATTAAATAATTAAAAAAACAAACAAAAGAGACTGAGCCACTTAAAATTCTCATCAGGAATACCAAGCCCCTTTTCATCTCCCTCATCTCAAAAGAGACCTCTTCATATCCCCAACCCCAAGCCCAGGCCTTGAGCCCTCTTCATCTCCCGTCGAATCAAATCCACGCAACTTCATCTCCCGTGTCAAAGTCTATATTTTGCCGAGGACTTGCCGATTGGAGCTCAGGCCTTGCCGATCGGAGAGGGGACTTGCCGATCGGAGATGGTCTATCAGGTTAGAACCGGGCAAAGTCACTATTTTGATTAATCGAGCATTCTTCATTTTGGAAAAGGTTGGATTTTTTGCTTCTTTTTTCAGGCCTTGCCGATCGGAGAGGGGACTTGCCGATCGGAGATGGTCTATCAGGTTAGAACCGGTCAAAGTCACTATTTTGATTAATCGAGCATTCTTCATTTTGGAAAAGGTTGGATTTTTTGCTTCTTTTTTTGGGCAGATTTTGATCACTCTGCAATTGTGTTTTTGTGGGTGGTGGTTTTGTAAATCTTGCACAGCTTGGGAGCTCTTAAGCTCTCAATGTCCATGTCAGCCTAAGGAGATGGCTTGGGAGCTCCTTGGGAGCTTGCTGGAGGGCTTGCAAACTCTCCCACCGCCACATAGGCCTTGAGAGGGGACGCAAGGAGCTTGCTGCCCTTGCTCTCAGAGGCTGAAAGGGTTATGAGACAAGGCAAACAACTTTGGATGGTATCTTTGGGTTGGTAACGTGATATTGGTGTTGTGAGATCTTCTATTGTTAGCTAATCATTCCTCAATGAACGCAGACCAAATATGAAAGCACACATCAAAGTGTGTCAGTGTCGTTGCTCTCTTAATTAGTCTCTGCTTTTGGTTTGATTATTATGTCCTTTTTTATTTACTTAGGTTGGTGTAATATTTCAGGTCGAAGTTGCATTGTTTCTGTGACGACCCTAATTTCTGAACCTAAAAGGAAAATTGAAGTCAGGCTAAACATGTGAAAAATCCTTCAAAAGTGTATATTCATCAAAAGACCATCAAAATAATCTCTCATTGAAATAAAACCAACAATAAATATTCTCTATAATCCCAAAAGTCAATATTAGTCCAATTAACTTGATATAAACAAATATTTCTCAACTTGAAACAAAACTCGACCTAAAAGAAAGAATCACATTATTCCAAAACTCTCAATTTATCAACTAAACATCAAAGACTTTATTTAACGTTCACCTAGAAGATAGTAACAATCTTGAAACTTATTCCTT